TATACTCGAAGATATTTTACACGTGTCTTTGAATAACATCTCTTTCATCATCGTCTGTTTAAACAGGAAGAACAAAAAGAAAATTAAAAAAAGGAAATAATTGGAGGATAAGCTATGGATAAGCAAACCTAAATGAACCTGGGAATGAAGCCATTGACACTTTTTGTAACACAGTACAAAGAAAACAGCTGAAAGAATAACAGTGGGTGAAAAATTAATCTTTTTGTTTTGATTAATATTTTCTGTCATTTGGTTTAGTGGAAGGTTCAAGAGAATTGCTTTTTAATTTTTTGGTTTTATAATTGAATGAGACACAATAGGTATTTCATTAATTCATTTAAGAAATTAAGGATACATACTAATTGTATAAATTAAACTTAGCTTTAGTACCTTAAATTGAAAAAAAAAAAAAAATTCTTACAAGTAAGGTTCAAGTAAATTGCTTTGGGCAAATTAGTGATAAATTGTCCTTTTTTTCCGAGGTGAAAAGAATTCTTTAGTATTATTTTCTGGTAGGTTCTTTACTAGCATCCGGAATGTATGCCAGATAACAGCATAATACTCAGAAACACCTTATTGCCAAATTTTTTTTCAGTAATTTCAAAAACTGTACTTCATAATGTACAGTTTTTGAACAGTACTTTATAATGTTATTATATTGGCCTAAAATTTAAAATGATTTGTTATTATATTGGCCTAAACAAGCCTATTAATTTTACTAATGTTTGAATGTCAAGCTTTTAATACTAATATTATAGTATTTACGATATTAGTATAAAAAATTGGTACATAACTATTACAATAAATAATTATATACAACTTGTACATAAGTATTATTATAAATAATAGTACATAAATAATTGAAGAAGAAAGTGGGTGATAAATAATATAAAGAAAGAAAGATAGAACGAAATTTTTTTTTAAATGTTCTATGTTAAATTTCTTTATATCCATTTTTACACTTTTCTTTACACTAGTATTTCTACAAACTAAGGCAAACAGCTTTCTTTGTCGGTATCTTATAAATATTTTTGTGCTCTTTAACGTTGTTTGTCTTAGTTAGTCTGTTAAACTTCTATAGCAGCTATTTTAGTGACTGTCTATACCAGGGGGGGGGGGCAACCTGCGGCTCTTTGAGGGATTATTTGCGGCTCTCGATAAACGTACCAGAGTTCCCTTTTCATTTATGTGCTATTATATTTTAAAAAATTATTATCGTTCTGTATGTGTTTCAAAATGCCTTTTAAATTACTGACAACAAATATGAAAGAAAGTGCAACGTTGTAGCAAATCTCATTTCCGTCCAAGTAATAGGGATGCAAGAAGATCAAGCTCCACAATTATAATCGACGTATAATAATACAAATATAATTCGACGTCTATTGCTGAATTTTGGAAATTTGTACCAGAATCGAAGTATCCTGAATTAAAAAAGGCTGCTTGTCAAATTATTTCAATATTCGGAACAAACTTATGTATTCCACTTTAAAATTCGTAAAATCCAAACACCGATCAGTATTAACTAACTAGCATCTCAAAGAATTACTGAGAAGTGCTGTGACCAATTATTCACCAAATTTTAAAGAATTATTAAGAGAAGTAAAATAAATGTGTTCAATTTTTAATATTTAAATTCAATACACATATTTTGTACTTTTATTTATATGATTTGGATAATTATAATTTCTGCAAAAAATTTTTAATACCTTTTTTGCATACATTTTAAATACACATTTAATTGCGGCTCGCGAAAAATTTCAAATTTTGAAAAATGGCTCGACTATCAAGGAGCTTGGTCACCCCTGGTCTATACCATAACTTAAGTTTTTCTTCTCTTTTATACTAAGGGAATTTTATTTGAAAACTTTATATTCCATTTTGATTCACTTATTCTCATTTACTTCATTTACTCACTTCACTTGTCTCTTTCACTCACTTATGAAATATTACATACTAAACTAGTTTTCACGTTAAAAAAAAAAAAAGCTTAATATGAAAATACTGGAAATGGATAATGTTTTGATAGTTGTGGCTTAGGCCCACTCTTGAGCATTGCCCCTCACTCCAAATTCAGCCTTGAATTTACTGAGGGGGTCAAATGAGGTAAAAACCTAAAACATTGCGATCTAGATAAAGGGAGTATTATTTTTTCCTTTATAATTTTTATACTTAATCCGATGAGATTAAGGCGAATGTAACGATTCAAGTTTAGTTGGACTAATAGTTCAAAAGTTGTTGAATTTTTACGATCAGTGTATAGTGCTGCTTTCAGGAGAACTCCTCCAGACACCCGTCTCGCGTTGTGGCGGGTTCTATGGTTGCAAGGAAAGGTCACTTCGAATAGGGTTGTGGGGTGAATAGTTTTGTCTTCATCTTAGCTTAGGTCATTGTGAGTAAACCAATCACCTTCTTTCCTCCATTTTACCCCCATTAGAAATGTGCTCTCGCTTGTTACCATAGCTGTAGACAGCCCCAGACTTTCAGTCTGGAGGAGTTCTCCTCAAAGCCACACTGTACCGAGCATAGGAGTTCGTGTGGATTGGAGAGGAATAAAACAGTCCTTAAGACTCCAAAAACTTTCTTAGTATTTTAAAGAATTATCTTATTGGTAGTATCTTCTATCTCATTATCTATTCTAATTAGTATCTTATTAGTATTTTCCAGTTAATATAGCAATTTTTAACACTCAACTACAGCACGAATAACTGGCTAATACACAGCAAATCACAGCCTTTGAAACCTCAGACGGTTCATAAGAGAGTCACAAATAGGAACAATATTGCAGTCGCAGACTAATACCCTACTCTCTACGTCTTGGCGACGAAACACCGAAACTTTCCGACATGATTCTAGACAATTCTCATCAACTCAGAAAATATTAGTCCTAAAAGCTTCGAAATTCGAATTTTCCAGAACTATTATTTTGTGGCAAAATGGTAGCCAAATATTGCCACGCTAACAAAATTGTCACCATAACGAGTCTTTCACAAGTCTGCTTTTCGAAGCTCTGTCACTCAGGAAAATAAAAAAAGCCATAGTTTAAGTCCCTTACACACAAAGCAAGGCGATGATTTTAAACTATATATATAATCTTGCCGTGAAGAATTATTTGGGCTTTAGAACAGACAAATAACTTAAAATTTTGAAAATTAATAAAATGTTTTACGAATCACACATTTGGCGACATTTTCCCCTCTAGTTGAAAATCATACAAATCACTGTCTTATTCTCACTTTTTGAAAATTTTTATGAGCCCAAGTAATGCAGCAGTATAGTAAGTTTTTAAATATTAAAAAATTAGACCACAAACTAAATTTTTTCAAAACTGTGGCTTTTCTCCATATTGACGTTTTGAGCCATTTTCAAAATAAACACAGACAGTGCTAGCTTGCTAGACAGGCTAAACTGACCTAACAGTCATTTGTAACTGTTTCAAATTTAACAACAGTTTTAAAAATAGCATATTAATCGCAAAAGCATTGTTTCTTATTCCGACGGAGCTTTTGAAAACAGCTATGGGAATAAATTAGGCGCTATTTTCTCTCTAAATTACGTTAGAATTACATGACTTTCTTACAAATTTTCTAATTAAACTCGTTATTTAGGTCTGTCATGAATATTTAGCCTTATAACAAAAGGAATATTCACAAAATTAAACACACATATATGAATTCGTTACAATAGAAAGTGCAGTTTTATGCTTACTGTATAGTTTCGTACCTATTTAAGCGTTCGAAAAAGTTTTACACAGATGCGGAGCATTTGAATATTATTTTACGCTGAGTTAAATCAAACCAAAATCAGGTTGATCGAATTGAAAGTTCCATACGTTAAAATTTTTGACTTATATTTTTTACGCATAAAACCCTTAGAACTTGAAAACTAGTAGCTTAATTTTGATTTTATTGGTTGAAGCATCCTCACTTGTCCAAATAGCTAAGTCCACTCAGTTTCAGATCGAAGGATACCAGCTTGTCCGACACTTGAAGGCACCATGGTGCACAGTGCAGATTACATTTCGCGCCACAATTATGCCGTTAGTCCTATTTGCAAAACTGGCGCGCCTTCACCTCCATGATCCCTCCTTCCTTGTGGTAAACAATAGGCTGTGAGCCGTGGGGGCTTAGGAGATAGAACTAATTCGAACACGGATCCGAGGAGGTGAGCCGGGTTCGAATCCCAGTGATGATTGGAACGAACTATCCAACTCGAACCGCCCACTGTGCTGACATAAAGTATCCTCAGTGAGAAGAGACGCAACATGGGAGAGTCCCCTTGCCGCCAGGCTAACCGTGGGATATTTTTGCGATTTTCTTCTCCATGTAACGCAAATACGTATTAGTTTCATCAAAAAGTCCTCTACAAAGGCAGATTTCTCCCATTATTTGATCCAGGAGATCGTCAAAGGGGGAATCCAATCGACGAATAAGAGCACGAAAATTTTATTGCTGTTTAATAATTTTTTTTTCCTGATAAATATTTGACTCAAGCAAATATTTTGTGAAGAATTAAATAAATTTGATAATTTTTAATAATAATAATTTGTAATAATTGTTCACTTTTGATAATTAAAATAATGATTTAGATAATTCAAGAAGAAAAACAAATTACGAAGAGTGTATAAAAATAACTTTTTTACATTAATTAATGATAGAAATAATAGCTTTTGCCTTGATATTTCATAATTTCAATGACCATTATAGGAAAAATAATTTATAATTTTTGCTTAGATTTTTCCTTCTAATGTTTTATTTGAAAATTAAATTTAATTTTTTCTCAACTTCTCTTTTTACAAGCATCTAATCGAAGAAATTGCTTAGAGAATCCACACACCATTGTTGACGATGAAGATAGAAAATGGAGGGGTCTGACAATTTATTTTTAAGAATGTGTCAGAAACTCTGGTGTTTATTATTACTACTTGTATTTCCGTTCCTTTGACCTATTAAAATGAATAATTTCAACTTACTTATATTCCTAAATAGTTCCAAAGCGAATAGCCGTCGATAGCTCAGTTGGCAGAGCGGTGGACTGTAGAGAGATATCACTGACATCCATAGGTCGCTGGTTCGACTCCGGCTCGACGGAAGAATTTTTTCTAAATCTTCTGTAAATCATAAATACGCACGATGTTATATAGAAAACAAATTATTATTAAAATATTTAGATGGTATAAATTTTTAGATGGAAAAATATTTAGATGGTATTATTTAAAAATATATACATACTTTTATCATATTATATTTTTCTATTACTACATACTTTTAAAATGTATCTGATTTTTAAATTTAATGATTTGTATGTTATTTTCGATGAATCTCTTGTTTGCTTGAATCATATTTTCAAGTACCGTTAATTTTTTTAAATAACATTGTCTTCTGCCAATCATAATATCGAGAAAAAATTATTTTTATCTTATTATATTTTCTTTGTCGTATACATACTTATAAACTTTATAATAAACTAACTAATAAACTAATTAAAGTTTAATTACTTAGTTATAAACTTTGATAAATTTTGCCTTTTGTGAACATACTTATAAAATTTAACTGATTCTTAAATTTATTGATTATATGTTAGTTATCTTGAGATAATTATTTCTGATCGTTTAAGTCAACATTGCAAATTCAGTTTATTTTATTTATTATTATTTCTTTTAATAACACTGTCTTCTGTCAGTTATAAAAAACATTTTTTGGTAGTTCTGTCTTTTGTCGAGCATAAAAAAACACTCAATCAAACGATATTATCTAAAAAAAAAAAAAAAATTTAAAAATTTAAAAAGAAGACTCTTATTTTATTATATTTTGCCTATTGTAAACTGTTAGATTTGATTTTTAAATTTATTTATTATATTGTATTTATTTTATAATAAATCTACCATTCGCTTGAGTTATAGTTTTAATTATCGCTTGTTATTTAATAACACTGCCTTTTGTCGATCAGAAAAATATTCAAACTGCATTATCTAAAATAATTTTACTTTTACCTTATTACATTTTGCTCGTTGTAAATAGAGTTGTAAAAGTTAATTAATTTTTTAATGTAATGACTATTTGTCTTTAATATTTAAGATAAGTCTCTTTTTTACTCAAGTCAAAATTACATATTTTACAAATATTTGCATATACTATTTGTGTATACTGCTTACATTTGCGTTTATTATACTTTTATTTTTATATCGAAAAATTTTAACGATAAATTTAAAACCAAGTCTGCTAAATTCTGATTGATGTTTTGGATAGTGAAAAAAAGGCTTTTATTTATGCATGCATTTCTCAGAATCTTGAATCTCATCTTTGCAAATCTTAGAAAAAAAACTTTAGATAACTTACAACTGCTTTTATTCTATTTCATTTCATTAATTTATTTATTTCATTAATTTATTTATTTCATTAATTTATTTATTTCATTTATCTCTTTATTTCATTCATCTATTTATTTCATTTATCAATTTATTTCATTTATTTATTTATTTCATTTATTTATCTATACATTGATTTGTTTATTTCATTTATTTATTTACTTCATTTATTTATCTATACATTGATTTGTTTATTTCATTTATTTATCTATACATTTATTTGTTTATATCATTAAATAATTAATTTTTATTTATTTATTTATTTAATTTATTTATTTTAAGGTAACTTAACTTGTTATTATTCTATATTTCAAATATTTAAGGTTATTAATTAAAGGTTAATGCATCAAAGGTTATTTTTCTCACATTCTGCTTCATCGAATTTTTTGTTGTTGATTGCTTATTTAAGCTAAAAGTACATTTTTTGGCATCGTAAAAATTTCTTATATTTCAAACTTCATTATTAAGTTTTCTATTTTTTTTTAATTAGAAAAAAAAGCTTCGCATGTTCAGATATATCATAATGTATGGTACCATCTTAAAAGTGTTTTTAATTATCGATTCAGTACTTTCTCAAGTGACCTCAAAGATTTATATTATATTATATTATAGATTTATATTTTCATTCAGTTAGTAATCTTTTTCGTAAAAATAGAGAAAAAGCATAATTTTTTTAAAAGTTTTTCATTCTTTTATAATTATTTATTTAGTGAAAACTTATTTGATAGGAAAGTGACCAGCAGATGTATGAAAGATAATAAAAATTAAAATTATGCACTGTGCAAATTAATAAATAATGAAATAAAAAAGTTTATGTTTTATTTTTGCGTTTTTCATTTAAGTTTTATTAATAAAATGATAATTTTAAAACTAGTTGCTAGTTTTATAGTTTGGTAAAAAAGAAAAAACTAAAATATTAGTTATTAGTTTATAATTTGAGCATTGCGATTTGTAAAAAGTTCAAACAGCGTTGGCAGTAAATTTAGGCAAAACATTAATTCTCTGCGAAATCTCTCTAATATAGTCCAACTTTGCCCTTTATTAAAATTACTGCATATTTGAACGATATTATGGTTTAAAAGGATACAAAACTTTTATTACAAAGTAAAAAAGTATAACTATCACAAAAACTATAAAGCAACATAAATAAATAAAAAAAAAGTCATATAAATTGCAAAAAAATTTGGTGCATTGTTGACGTTGAAAAAAATTTCATTATTGAGGTAAACTGAAGATTTTTACAGTACATTGTAGTCACATATGTTATTTACTTTTTCATTGTTATAGCTTTATTTATTTCTTCATTCATTATTTGCTTGTTTAGTGACAACGCATATTTTCATGAGCACTAAAAACCATTTTCGACTTTATTGCATTAAGCAAGCGCATTTTTAGTACTATATTTGCACTTATTCCTTCAAATAATTGTTATTTTATCAATTTTATATAATTTTTGGCACTATAACTTCAATTCTGTCCTAAAAATTACAATAAGTTTACCATAATACCAAAAATGATAGCAACTACACACCAAAATGTTTTACAATACAGATGTATGATCCTGCAAATACATAATAAATTTTTCATCAGGGCAAGGAAATCCCCAAATGTTTAGCGACATAAATTTTTTTTATTCTACATTATTATTTTTATTATTGCATATTGTGGAAATTTGCTTTGTAATTCATTTAAAACCCTCTTATTACAGTTTAAAAGATTTTTACAGCATCTGTAACGAACACAAGCTTAAGAATTTCACTGAAATTCAGTAAGAGTTATATTTGGAAAAACTCTTTAAAACTTTAAAAATACAAAAATTAAGTTCAGTCACTTTTAGTTTTAATACTTGTAATTTGAAAATTAACATTTATATGTATCTCGTACACTTTCTTTAGAAATTCCATTCAATTAAGCATTTCGAGTTATAGAAAAATAATATATAATTAAATGAAATGATTAGAAATGGAAAATAGTATTTTATAAATATTCAGATCATTATACACTATTTTTAAATGCTATTTTCCATAATCAGAAAAATTAGTAATAAACAGTAAAAATTAGTGTAACAAAAAGAAAAGAAAAAAAAACTATTTCAATTAAATATTTCATAAGATAGCCAAAATGCGATTCCTTAATAATTTCTTAAAAAAGATAAAAAGGTGTTTGAAATGACAATTCAAAACTTCTTTCCCGACGAAAATTGCATATGAAAGTTTAATATATGATCTTGAAACATAACCTTTAATTGAAGAAGTTTTTCTTTTCTTATAAAAGTTGGGATTTCTACTTAATCAAAAGCATTTCTTCTTATTTTTCAAAAAAAAAAAAAAAAAAAAAGTAGAGTAGCCATTGGTGAGACACTTCATATTATATTAACATGGTGAAGGCTGATGAAATTTTCCTCCCTTTTTCAACATTTAAGAAATTCTAACGAGTTTATTGTGCAAGGTGTTCCGCAATGAGCACCCATAAAGTTTCTAGAATCTAGAACCCATGTCAAAACTGAAGTGAAAAAACATACACGTCAGGGATCGCAAACTAACTTTTAAGTGAGATAAAAACAAAACATAATTTTGAAAAATATAACAAAACACTACAGAAGAAAGCAGGTCTGAAAACATCAAAGCTTGTAGGATTGCCGGAGGAATCAGATATTTTTAGAACTGCGATTATTAGAGCTACCACCAACTTTTTTAAGGCAATAAAACGGGATTCGTATCCACCTTCCTCCATTCACTAATGTCTTTGTATTACTGTTACAACAAAGCAAGACAATTGGTTGAAACGTTTGTTCAGGATTCAAATCAAAAGAGTCTCTAAAAAATCAGTTCGACTATAATATTGGCACCACGAACAATAATAACGGGTGCAACTTCACTGTAAGCTAATTAAGTCATGCATTAACCTCACTTCGTTTCCAGTTTGCATGCAGCATCACGTAATCATGTTTAAGAAATAAAATAATACTAGGAGGCTCCGCCCCCGTCTCGCTAACGCTCGCCAACCCCCGAGAATTGCTACGCAATCCTATGCGGTTCACGCCATGAACCATGGCTCGCTGCGCTCGCTCGTCAATGAACACAATGTTCTAGCACAAAGACATAATATATTATCATCAAAGACATAGTATTTTATCATCAAAGACATAGTATTGTACTTATGTAGAAGAATTCTACCAATGTTCTTATTGGCTTTTAAAAAAGTATATTAGCTATTTAGATTGTACATGGTGAAAAAATCAAAACATTAGCTAAATAAGAAACATATTAGCAAAATAAATTATCAAATATTGCTTCACTAATATTCTGCATTTTAAAGCGTGAAAATTCAATGCATAAATAAACGCGAAATATAAAAAAATTCAATGCATTCAATACAAACACTTAAACGTTTTTTAGACGTTTAGGTAGCTCCCAGTAGAAAAATATCAATTCAACAGCGGCCTTTTAAAGCATTCTCACTTCAATTAATTAATTAATTCCTAATTGAGTTTAAATTAAATATTGTCATGTTTTTAGTGCATGAATCTGAATTGAACAACCTGATAATGCTCACTCTGGTTATTGTTATCTGGTTGCTCACTACGTGCTCTTGCGCGCCGAATCCAATCAATTAAAAATGAAAACTGTTGCCAGCGCGAGAAAAGAAATATCATCGGTTTTATTGACACATACATACATACATACGTACGTATTAGCGTTTTATATAATATAGATAGTTCAAA